TGTGTCACTTAAATAAAAATTTACACTTCTTCTTAAGTGGTCCGAAATGTATGAACAGATAAAATCTTATCTCTTTGTTCTCATACCAATTTTTTAAAACCCAGTAGGCAAACCACCAAAATATCATCAAGGTAGGGTCATCCAAAAGTACCATTCTTTAATCAGTTTAATGTACCAAACTAATCATATATTTATCATCGCATTATTTGGGGTTCTTAGAATAGTTAGATTTCCTCTGAATTATTAACAATCCGATAATTAAGGACTCACTACCATCGAATGGTGACTCTGGCCCGCCTGGCCGTCCAATTGTCGTTTTTTTATCTCACTGGGGTCCACGATCCATTTCTACTATCATAGTAGTATTATTTAGATCAACATTAATATCTTAAACACTTAGAATACCACGAGTGGTCCCCGCCCTCGATGTGGGTCCCACATGTAGTTTTACTACACGATAAAAGTTAATTAGTAAAAACAAACTTACCGGACCTTTTATCAAGTGCCATGTCTAATTTATCCAGGGTTATTTGAACATTTCCGAAGGTGGTTTTACACCTACACCTCTATGTAGGTCAAATGTCTGATTTAATAATCTTTTATTAATTTAAGTCAAGGATTTTATCTTTCTCATTATCAAGACTATTCTTAGTCTCGATTTTCTTTCTTTAACTCTGTACTTGACAAAAAAAATCTCTTGGTGAAATTTGGGTCTGGTGTTACACAAGAACACTCTCCTTGGTAGACAAAAATTGCAATTCGCAAACCAATTTTTTATTCCGATAAGATTCATGTGGTTAAACAAGGCAAAAGTTATTTAAAAAGTATTGGTGAATATGTACATTTTAAACTCTTTATCTTCAAATACTTTGATAAAATGTTATACTCCGTATATTCTTTTTTAATTTCAAATAATTTTTGTTTCATTTGTCAGTTGTTACGTTTTAATTATCAATACTTTTTTCTAGAGTACTTCAGCTATAAAATCAAAGTTATTTTTCTATTGTGTAAACTTAGAATGTACTCTATAATAGATTAAAATATCATCGTGTATGTATTCACAGAATTTTTTTGAATAAAAAATAGCCGCAAAGCCCTATACAAGGAAATAAATTGCCCCACTACACCGGCGGAGAAAAGAATCGTCCCCTAATATATGAGGTAGAGAGTATTCAATTTACCAGTTATGAGATTAATCCAAGACCCAATGTAGTGGTAACTTTTGTCCATTGATTGAAAGAGAAAAAAAAAAGATGTGTCTGCTATCGATGGAAGAAGAAATAACCGTGTATATATGTAGTGGTAACTTTTGTCCATTTCAAATTTTTCTATTATAAATGTAATATTTCATACTTTAATTAGATATATATTTTTTCGCCCCTCTTAATTTTTAGTTTTAAAAATTTATATATAGCATTACATAATGTAATACATAATTGGAGATTTAAAAAATGTAACATCTAAAATAATTTACTTAACTTGAATGAATAAAGAATACCACAACCCATTGTTTAAGACATAGGACATCTATTATATAAGGGGAAAATAATTTAATTACCCTAAACTTTGAAGATGTGTGATGTAAACACCCCAAACTTTTATATGTAATATTTATCCCAAACTTTATATAAAAAGTAATATTAGTACCATGAAAATATGTTTTTTTCTTTCACAATGTATATTTATGATGCTTTAACTACATTTCTATAAATGTTTAACTATTTTAAAACATGTGCTTAACACCATAAGTTTACATTTTTGAATAAAAACTACATAGTAATGGTGATAACATAACTTTTTATGTAATGTTCGGGGTATATATATTACACATGTAGGTTTGGGGTACTTAACTCACCCTTTTAAAGTTTGGGGTATTTAAATTATTTTCTCCATTATATAAAAATTCCTAGTTTTGTAATATTTAATTGTCTTTATTAGATAATTAGTACTCAATTTTGTAAAATATCGAACAATATTAAATACTATACACACTAGTTAAATAATTTTTAGATCATGTGAAGTGAATCTAAAATATAAATGTTTATTGACATTAAATTACACAATTCATTACTTATTACTTTCTAAAAACAATTTGTTGAATATATAGATAATAAACTTGAACTTACTATAGCATTGATACAAATACAATATGCACCATATATGTGAATTAACAATACTATGTATAATATTATTCTAGAATAATAATATCACACATACTATTGTAATATTAAGAAAACTTCTCGTGACCTACAAACACCATTCTTAGTAGACAAAAATTGAAATTCAAAAATCAATTCTTTATTCTAATAAGATCCATATGGATAAACAAGGTAGAAGTTATTTAAAAATCTTGGTTGATGTGTACCTTTTAAACTCTTTATCTTCAAATAATTTTCATTTGATTTGTCATTTCTTATGCTTTAATGTATCAATACTTTTTTTAGAGCATTTACAATTAAAAAATTAAAATTATTTTTCCATTGTTTTAACATAGAATGTAATATTCTTTCAAAAAAACTTAGAATGTAATAGATTTAAATATCATCGTGTATGTATCGATGGATTTTTTTGAATGAAGATTAGCCGCAAAGCTCTATGCTAGCAAAAAAATCGCCCCGCTACACAAGCGGAAAAAATTGCCATGATACACTAGCGAATTTTTTCGCCCCCTATACTAACAGAAAAAATTCGCCCCCCTTGACTCGATATCCTGGATCCGTCCCTGCTTAGAGCTTTTAAATAGTACTGATTCGGGCTAAGATAATTGATTTGAGTGACTTAAAATACTCTCTTAAAATAAAGTGATTAAACTCTATAACATGATTTACTTATTTATTTATCATCATTGAAGCTTACAGGTCAACGTTATTTGTCACCAAAACAAAGATATCACAATAAATCACATTATTCATATAAGAAACTTATTTATTAATCAACTAAAATAATTAATAATGTTTCATATAACTAGCTCACTAAATATTCAAAAAAAAAAAACTCACTAAATCGGGGTGTTACAGAGCCTTCAACACAAGCCCTTAAAATCGATGATTTTGTGGAAACCAAACCTGACTCATTGTTTGTGCAGTGCGGATGGTACAATAGTAATTGAAATGTTATTATCATTTTGAAAACTTAATATTCTGGTGAGTTTATCAGTGACAACTGGACATAGCCCTTTCCACGTCTCCAATTATGTGGAAACAAATGGAGGTTTGACAAAGTTAGAGCTAGGGTTGGACTCGGGTCCGAGTCGGGTCCGGGTCGGGCCTAGGCCCGGGCGGGCCGGCGGGTCAGAAATGGTGGACCCGGGACCGGCCCGGGTAACCACCGGGTCCGGGCCGGGCCAGACCCATTATATTTTTTTTTTGTTTTCCTCTTCCTAATTAACCCCCCTCCCACCCCCAACCCCCCAAACCACCCCAAATGGCCCAAAATACCCAGCCCAACCCGAAAAGTTAAAAAAAATTGAAAAAAAAAATATATTTTTTGGCCCGAACCGGGCCCGGGCCCGGCCGGGTCGGACCTTGTTTTGGGTGACCCGAGCCCGGACCGGAAAACCCACGGGCCGGGCCTACCCGGACCGGTCACTGACCGGGCCACCGGGTCGGGCCGGGCCGGAACAGTACCGGTCCCGGGTCGGGCCACCCGGCCCGAGTCCATCCCTAGTTAGAGCTAAAAGAGGGTGGACCCGTTTTGGTATTAGGTTGACTTTGGTCCTATATTGGATGTTCCTGCATTTATATACAGGAGCCCAAGAACGAGTTATATAATTATGGCTTTGGATCAGTTATGGTCAACCGTTAAATTTCCATGATTTTTGTTTATTTATTATTTTAACTCTCTATCCCTCTTCTCACACCCTCCCCAATTATTTTGTGTGAATTGTACACTTGTGTCTCAATCTATACACATAATCTATAAAACAATCGTCAGTGAAAATTAGGTCAAGGATAGGATGGTCCCTCACATCTCAAAAGATATCCTTAACCCGCAAAACAAACATTTGAAACTTAAATTGTCTAGCAACTCTTTGTATTGCATTTCACATGCTTGTTTATAGGCATGGACTCAGTGCTGGCCGGGCTGGGCCTCGGTTCGGTTATGATCGGGTTTTTTTTTTGGGAACTTTGAGGCTCGGAACCGGCTCGGGTAGCTACCGGTTCCGGGTCGGGCCGGTTACCAGTTCAGGCCGTGTCGGCCAGGTTTCCTTTTTTTTCTAATTACTTCCTACCCCCCAACACCCCAAACCTGTCCAAAACACCCAGCCCAACCCATTTACCTTTTTCAAATTTTGAAAACCAAAAAAAAATTGGCCCAAACCGGGCCCGAACCAGCCGGACTGGTTCATGATTTGGGAGGCCCGGGAACCGCCCCTCTACACTGCCGGACCGGGTGGCCCGAACCAGGTACTGGGCCGGGCCGGGCCGTAACAGTACCGGTTCGGGCCGGTTAACCCGGCCCGAGTCCATCCCTACTTGTTTATATGCACATAACTGACTTGTTTGAGGCCTTAAATAGGTTAACTATCACCTGGTACCAATATGGTGTTTGTTCCCAATATCTTCAATCTTTATACTTAGATGGTATCACCTGGTACGAAGTATTAGTGTAAGAATAGACCTAGGGAAAGGAAAAAAACAGACAATTATAAAGTAGAAACATTCCTCTAATGAAGTACATATGAATCAAAATCTTACATTGAAATATTTCACTAGTAACTCTAACTGCAGTGGCCTGCAGTGGTCAGTTGGTCATTTGGTCACGGTCACTAGATCATTGTCACTGGAGAGCAGTCACTTTGATTTAGGGGTATAAATTATAAAACTATAAAAGTTACCTTAGTCTATTTTTTGAAATTTTTTAAAACCGATCCTTTGCTACCCATAGCATTTCGTTTGGTAATATTTTCCCTAACATCGTCAAAACCTAGGTGTTTTTTTTACTCCAGAGGGCATTTGGGGGAGGGGAGCAGGTGGGCTGGAGTTTCAAACTCCATTGAGTAATCAAGGATAAAACTCACTCCATTAAGTTTCAAACTCGTATGTGCCTAGCGGGTTTCGAACTCGAGACCTCTCAGTAATCTCACAACCAGCTGGGCTGGAATGCTTAGTTATTGTCAAAACCTAGGCAATAGTTTACATTTAATTAAAATCAATCAATACGCCGATCAGATTGTTGAAGTGAAACATAACAAGAAAACACATTAAATATCACAAGTAGATGGACTACAAAATCATAATAAGCAGACCAAATTCTACAGTTCAGTTGTTAACTACCCCAGTCCAGAAGCTAATCAATCCAGTATCTCCGACAATTCGGTCTGTCTGAATCCATCAACCTGAGCCAACAAGCCAGCCAATGTTCTGTTCGGAAATATGTTATCAGCCTTCATTCTCTCACTCATTCCATAAGCAGGAACTTTGGCATTTATATATGCCTGAAGAAGTGTTTGGAATTGTTTAAGCCGGGATGTGTACCCCACCTGCCTCATTCTGTATAACATCTTCTCACAGTTGTGTACGTCGCCTTTTGCTGCATATTGCTCCATGATGGTGGCATAGGATCTGTACAGTGGCTTTTTCTGACCCTTTGTGGCTGCATTTTTCAGTATAGAGTCAGCCTTTTCCACTTCTCCAGCATTACAATAAAGCTTAACAAGTGCATCCCAAGTGAATGGCCCCACCTGGCAATGGTTCTGCCCCATCCTCTTCACAAGCTCATTCCCTTTCTCCAACATCTTGTGTTCTGCATACACACTTAATAAAACATGGTAGGCTTTCGAAATGAGATCTTTTGACTTTACATGCTTTTTTAGCAATGTCTCGAAGGCCTCTTCCGCCTCTCCAATTTTCTTCAAAGTTCCCCATGCAGGAATTGCAGCCATACACTCGTATGCACTTGGTTTGGATTTGCAAGCTTCCCAGATTCTGCTAACTTCCTCTGCCTTGCCAAGGGAAGCATAGAGAGGAAGGAGCAATGTGCGCACAAAACGGCGTTCCTTCTCGTCCCCTTCTTCCATCTCCTTCATTAGAGCCTCGGCTTTTTCATTGTGACCACCGGCAATATAGTGTTTGGCTATTGATGCTTTTATGTAGGCATCAGGTTTGAATCCATCGCTTTTCATCGTCTCTACAATTTTTTCCATGGCATCAATGTCCTTGAGTTGACCCTTGATGTCGATTAATAATAGGTATGTGAAGCGGGATGGTTTCACTCCCTCTTTGTCCATGAGTAAAAGGACATCGGAAATCTTCTTCTTATCAGTTTTTTTATAAAGAGCAATCATCTGATTGAAAGCAAAGCTTGAGAGTGGGAGCCCAAGTTCCCTCATTTTATTGAATATCTCTTCAGTTTTTTTCACATCCACTGTATAAACAGAATTGGCTAGGAGAGTTCGGTACACAAGTTCACCACAAAATTGTTTCGGAATCTTCCGCAAATAAGCCTCTGCCTTCTGTAAACTACGGGCTTTGGCAATTAAATCAACACGGCAAGCATAGTCTCTATCAGTCAAATCAATCTCCTCAGATAACTCCATCCACTCAGATAGCTGTCAAAATACAAAATAAGGTGGTAGGTCCAAATGATTTTGCTTATTCTTCAAATCACATTAAGGGACGGGCATGCAAGTAAAGTTTATTAAGTTACGGCATCTTATGCTTTAGTAAAGAAATAAAGCTGAGAAGCCTAAAAGTTAATATTTGTAAACACACAATGTGCTGTTAATTGAATGGTCATGATGCTTCGCGATATGCATGTCCGGTTTGCAATATCAATCATGTACTGGACATGGCTTAAGCAAATATCTTAAAACATCACCATCTCATGATATTTTCCATACATGTGGATAAAACCTTTGACAATGATGGTTTTAGAATTATGAAATTATCTAATTATCCTTCCTTCTTGATGAAGGTTGTGATAGGAAGGACATCCAGCATAATGCATCGCCACTATGCTTATTTTGCATGAATATATAGCGTTAATTGTAGATTTAATTAAATATATTAGTGCCAACAATGCCAACCGGGTGATGATGATACTGTTAAATTGTTATGGAACCTATCAGCATTCAGCAATGAAAACAGGTTCAGAATGAAAATGTGTGTTAAGAACAGGAGAGCTAGCCTTAGTCTAGGGATTTGTTCAAGAAATTAATCAGGAAAGAGAAACGTTAAACTTAAACGAAGCTAATCTTATTGTTAAATTAACCGGTGCATGTGACAGAAATTCCTATTCTAGCAGAATACTACCTCCGTCCCTTAAAACTTTGACAAAGTTGACCGGCACGGAGAATAATAAAGTAAAACCTGTGTGGTTCAGGTTTGTGCAGAGGAGAGAGAAATAACGGAAACCACAAAACAATTGATTAAAAGGGAAAGTGTCAAAGTTTTTTGGGACGTCTCAAAAAGGAAAGATGACAAAGTTTTAAGGGATGGAGGGAGTACTTTTCTATATTCAACACTGGAATGCTGAGGAAATTCTCAGATTCCTTAAGGGATTCCAATTCAACGTAAGAAAGTAGCAGAGAAGGAAGGAGAAAGGTACGATTGAGACACTTAGAGTAGTCTCACCACTCCCAAGTCCCAGTCCCAACTAAATTTCTCTTCCTCTATTCCTCCCTCCTTCCCTCTTTTATATAATTTCTATTCCTAAGGTCCGGCCCATACTTCCTGAATTGCATGGCCCAGAAGTTAGAACATTTATTTATACAACAACATCCTATTTAATAATACTCTATTATTCTTATTATTATTGGCTGTCCATATCCCTATCAGCCTGACCTTGTCAAGGCACAAAAATTAACTCTCCAAAAGTAATGTATTCCATAAGTCCATAACAAAAAAAAACTTGAAATAAAGAGACTGCTCGAGTTCACAATAGCAAGGGAAATAAGAACTGAAAACATTGACTAAACAAGATTGAGAAATATTACCAGTCTCATTGGAATTTACCAACTCTGAATTAGATAAGAAATAAGAAAAGTAAAAATTGTGTGGTTGAGGTTTGTGTGGAGGAGAAAGAAATGAACAAAATCGCAAATTAATTACTTTAATGGGAAAGTGACAAAGGTTTTTGGACAACCAAAAAGGGAAGTTCAAGTCCAATGAAAATGAGGGAGTATAATAACTAATAGGAAACAATATCCTTATTTCCAATTTCAGCCTCTTCTGCTTGTCGACTTACACTTGAATAAAGAAATATGATACTACCTCTGTCCCATTCAAATGTTCTCGTCCACTATTCTCCGGTCAACGTAAAGTTTTCTTAATTTTATACTTTATATATCTAACTTTTATCAAATTTGATTTTGTTTTTTGCGACTTTTTAAAAACTTTTAATGCAGTTTCTGAATATGTAAATTTTATTTACTAAAAATAATCTTATTACGGACAAGGATCAATTAACTTTATGGTCAATCAAACATCGTAAAATCAAGTGGGAACCTTTGTACGGGATGGAGGGGCTAATAATAATAATTATGATGATGAAATGAAACAATATCCTTATTTTTAATTTTAGTGTTGACCGACGGGCCTTTGGATTCTTTGTGAACCGATTGTACATGTGACCCCAAAGGAGTCCACAACGACATGCATCATAAGAATGAAGGATGATTCTTATTCTCTATTTCATTAATTTGTAAGTAGTTCCTTATTATTCTTAGTCCAAGTCTACTAGTAATTATGAGTTGCATTAGGGTTACAACTTATTTGCTTGTAATGGCTTTAATGGCTTCATTTTAGGAATAATATAATATCGGGGTATTAATCTTTCTGGCTGTTCAGTAGATACAATGACAAGCTTTATTTCCTAGGGCTTGAAGTCTAAAATTACCCAATCACCAGGAATGATCAATCTATTTTTGTTCCGTGTATTATATGACCATGGACAAAACCACACATATTAGACTTTACTAAAAAGTATAAATGCAAGCTACCAAATCTAACAAAATATGCATATTAAGCAACTACTCTAAACATTACTAACCCCGTCTCATTTTGTAAGATACACTTTTCTTTCTGGGTTGTGCCCAAAATATGAACACTTTCTCAAATTGAGCTTCATTAACTTTTTACTTTCCTACTTTATCCATTTATCTATCATTTCACTCTTAACTTTTTAATTTTTATGGTCCCGTCTAGGGTTGTAAACGAATCGAATAATTTTGATCCGATTCGCGATTCAAATTCGAAATTGATGATTCGAATTCGAAATATTCGAATACGAATTCGAATACGAATCAATTTTATTATTCGAGTAACATTCGAATACGAATACGAATATACATATATTCGATTCGTAAGTTATTTGAATATATTCGATTTGTATATTTACGAATGATAAATATATATTCTATTAGATTTATAATTTATATAATTGTTCAAAATTAAAATATAAAATAGGTAATACATATTCTAGGTTTAAGTAATTGAATTAACTTTGTTTACTTTATTTGTGTGTGTTTCTTTAGCAATTGAGTTTTGAAGTAATTGAATTTTTGAAATAATTCATTTAATAGACATTTGTGAAAATCGGAAAATGCCTAAAATGAGTCATAATATGAATAGGTGAATTTTTTTTGACACTTCAAATATTTGAATTGGAATTCGAATATTCGAATATGAATATACTCAAATACAATAAATGAATCGAATGTGAATCTATTGTAAGATTCGAATAATATCCGAATATGAATACGAATATTCATCAATTTATACGAATACGAATAGTATTACTCACTATTCGGTTCAATTCGATTCGTTTACAACCCTAGTCCCGTCTTACTATTTCTTACTTTTTGAAGATTAGAATTGTAAAACACCACCTTATCCTTTATTCTCTCAAACACCGCACCAAACCCACATGTATCTTACATTATGGGATGGAGGGAGTACATTGTAAAAGATTAAAAATTACCTGCAGCGCTTTCCCAAACAAGCGCCTTTTACGAAGGCCTACCATGACTTCTGTTACCACCGGGCGGGTCAATTCATTTCCTTTCTTTTTCCAATTAGTCACGATAGCACCAAAATCTGATGTGGGATTGTCCAAAATTTCCTTGAATAAGGTAGATCCAAATCTCTTTTTAGATAATTTATCAGGGGCCACCGTATCCAGAGAATCCTCAACTTCTTGCTCTAAAACATCAATAGCGTCTTCAGCAAGGTCTGGCTCTGAGACTAACTCCTCATTGTTATCTGCGATATCATTTTGGATTGCAGGAGATTCAAGATCAGAAAACCCATCGTCCAGCTCATTATCTTCCTCACCAGTGTTCGTTGTGTCTACCTGAGTACAGAACCTGCATGTGCCCCAAAATTCTAAATGTGTACTAGAAGCCCTCTTGTGAAATTTTCTTGATAAAATTCCTCCATATACAACTTTAGCAGGAAAATTAACTCCCTTGTCACAGTCTTCTAAAAAATGAGTTGACACACACGGCAGTGTAGCAAACCTAGTGTAACTATTTTCTATCCCCAATCCTTGCTTCCTGGCATAGTAATCAACAACCAATTAGGTCAGTTTTCATTTCCTGGCATAGTAATCTTGAATAAATCTCACAAGTCACAAGAGGAAATTTTGTAGGAATTTTCAATCTCTACATCAATGAAGTAACAAGAGGAACAAGCAATGCACCATAGCTGATCAGATTTTACTTGAAAGATACAATAGACCCGCTCATTTCCTTTAAACAATATTTAACTACGTATTGGATATGAGTTGGTGAGGTTCCAATCAATTGCCAAGGCACCCAAAATCTATCCCACCCACACCTTTGACTCTTTATTATTTTGGACAACATGGATTCCTAATCGTCTTCTTCCCTATTCCGGTGATCCCCTTTCCCATGCCAACAAATATCAGGGCTAAAGCTAAGAGATAAAAAAGTGTCTCCTCCAATTAAACCTGGTAGAAAGTTACGTAAGTGTACCATCGTACGAGAAATGAGAGTTTAAACACTCACAGTGGCGATTACCTGAGAGTAGCAGAAGCTCGGCGAAGTGACCACATAGCCAAGTGCGGATTCGACCCGGGAAATGAATACTGTCAACTTCCTGAGTGCCAGTGATATAGAGCTCTTAAAACCCTAAAAGGGCTTTCAGCTATTGCGTTATCCGGTTTTTTTTTTCAGTTGAAAAATGCTTTGATACACTAGTAATAATAATGATATAATAATAATGAATAAAACAGGTTGATCAATCCTGGTAATAATGAATGATGTATTTGGATAAATATATCCTTGTAAATTTTAAAATGTCTTAATTAATAATAAAATCATTAAAAAATGATAAATAACGTAAAAATGATAAAAAACGTAGAAAAATAATAAAAAGTTTATAAAATAAAAAATTAAAGAAAAATAGAAAAAATTATAAAAATTAAAAACGTAAAAAACACCACCACCTTTGCCACCCCTAGCACCATAGGCTCCCATCACCGGTTGGAAATCTGCCAACATTATTAGTAACGGCAGAATAATGGCAGATTCAATGAGAATTTTGGCATTATGAAGAGTAAAAATGGCATTATCTTGGAAATTTCGGGGAAAATGGCATTTTTTTTACAAAAAATGTCAGAATTTTCACCGATCGGTGGTGGTGCTAGGAGGCGGTGGGAAATGTATTCATTTTTTATATTTTTTATGATTTGTATTTTTTTTTTACGATTTTTTATTATTTTATATGATTTTATCACGAATTAAGACATTCATTATGAATTAATACCCTTAGGGGTATTTAGGGTAGAAATAGATGTTTAGTCCTACCTGCAAGGAATAAAAAAGTAGTCGTCCTAATTGTGCATTTTAGGTTTTTTTGTAGTCCTATCGAAAGCAATTTGTAATAAATTTCTAATAAAATAATAAAAATAATAAACATTCGTAAAAACTATTAAAAACTTAATAAAATATTTTTAAAATAGTAATTTAAAAAACTAAAAAAAAGCAAAACAAAAAATCACCGCCGCCTCTGCCGCCTCTACTCCACCACCTCCGGTCACCGGGGGGAAATTGCCACATGCTTTAGGAATGCCACATTTATGGCAGATTCAACGAAAATTTTGGCATTCTCAAAGAGTAATATGCCATTTTTTGGCATTTTTCAGAAAAATGACATTTTTTTGAAAGAATAGAATTTTTTACACCGATCGGAGGTGGTGGTGCAGGGAGACAGTACAGGCGGTGGGAAAGACATCCATATTTTTTATTGTTTTATGGTTTTTGACTATTTTTTATTTATTTAAAAAAATAAGATTTTTTTTTTAATTTTTTATTTTATAAACATTTTATTAATTTATCATTATTTTTTATGATTTTTATTATTTTTTACGAATTTATTATGAATTAAAACATTTAATCATAACTTTTGACTACCTTTTACTCATATTTACAGGGGGTAAGAATGGATGAAAAATAGGTACGTTTACAAATAGAAGTAATATGATTCTATTTTGGAATAAAAACATAAGATGTCATATTTTTTATTTTTGCAATAATTTTACTCTTATTTGAGGTAATTTCCGTTGAAAATATCGACGACTTGACAGTTGACGCGATAAATAATCACAATTCACACATCTAAAATTTTGAGACATTCTTAACCATTTATCTCAACAGCATGCAAAATATTAGGGGTGGACCGGTTCCGGTTCGGGCCCGGTTCAGGCCTGGGCCCGGCCGGGCCTCAGTTCATGAAGGGGGAGGCTCGGAACCGGCCCGGGTAACCCCCAGGTCCGGGCCGGGCCGGGCCTCGGTTCTATTTTTTTTTTTTTTGGCTTTTCCTAGTTAACCCCCAACCCTCCCCCTCACCCCCAAACCAACCGTAACCACCTCAAATGGCCCAAAATACCCAGCCCAACCCAAAAACTTAAAAAAAATTCAAAAAAAAAATAATAAATTGGCCCGGCCCGGGCCCGAACCGGCCGGGCCGGTTCACCTTTTGAAGGACCCGAGCCCAAACCGCCATCCCACCGGGCCAGGTGGCCCGAACCGGGCAACCAACCGGTTCACCGGGCCGGTCCGGGCCCGCACAGTAGCGGGCCGGTCCAGTTCCGGGCCGATTGGCCCGGCCCGAGTCCACTCCTACAAAATATGCTCGCGTGCTCCATTCACACACAATAACACAGGTCACCTCAATACAATTTTCCTTCCTCTCTATTTATTACATGCCTTTTCCTTTTAATTTAATACTACTTCTGTTCTTAAGTAATTACCATTTGCTTTACGTTAACTTTTGTACTATTCACATACTCTACATACATTGAAGACGTTATACTTATAAGTTATAAATGTGTTAAAAAAATTGAAAGACACTTTTTTCTCCTTTTAAGTTTTAAAATATGTTTTTAATGATTTTTACAAATATCTAATTAACGGTACTAGTGGTCACAATTGCGTGTTAGCAAACATGGAAATGAAAGCCTTAGTAACTAAATACCAAAGGAGAATGTATATCCCAAAAATCCAAAATACAAGGTTGATGCTTTCTAGTTTTTAGTTTATATTCTACTAACCTATCACTACAATTATCCCTATTATTTTCTAAAATAACGCATTAAATCAACATTGGAAAAACAATAAAAACTTCCAACACCTCAATTTTGTTTATGGGTTTAGCCTTCATAAAAGTCCACAAAATTTACAATATTACAATTAACATGCGCTCTTGACACCTATCTTAAAATCAAAAGTACACACCTTAAACAAAGATTGGTCTTAAATTTTTTTCTTTGAAAAAAGCCACAGCAACTCTTGAGTAAGAATTAATCAGTATTCAGCAATCTTTGGGATAAGTTGTATGATTAACAGGTATTTGCCATATCTTGGTGTTCTTCTTAGGATCATCTGTAAGAGAAAGATCGTTGTCATTCTCTTTGTATGTTCTGATGAATGTTTTTGCTCCCATCATGATTAACCTTTCCACCATGAACAGCTGATAATTGTTTTCAACCAATGGATCCAAAATCCTGCTATAGTTTGAAGCATAGGCCAACTTGTACCTGCAAATAAATAAGATCTCCTAATAATATTGTAGTTGATGCACTATAGGAATGTAACAATTCACAATGAATGTGTAAAAGATGTTTTTTTCAAAAGGTTACCAAACCTGTTGGTAGGCCTGGGGTTTTGGAACCGGGAACCAAAAAAATGACCGGAACCAAACCGATATAGTACAGTTCAGTTCGGTTCCTATTTATGGTGTTATAAAATATCGGTTCGGTTCCTATTCGTTAATATCGGTTCGGTTTCCGGTTTGTTATAAAAACTTTGGCTTAGAATCGACATGGGACCGTTATTCACAATTCATTCTTAAATCTTAAAAGTTAGACAACTAGTGGGTTATTCCACTTATTCGTTTTCCATAAAACCATGAGGAGTATACTATAATACTGCAGCCTTTAGCCCACTAGACAACCTTTAGTCCTCTACTCCTCTTCAACCTTTAGCCCACTCACTACCCGTAGCATTAGGACGAGAACCATAGCATCTTCGCTCCTCTGTTGTTTTGCTCATATTCCCTCCTCTTTCAATGATTTTCATGGCTTCCTCACAGGAGAGATCATAGATAGGTAAGCATCTCTAGCTATCTGTATTTTTAAATTCAAACTTTCGTAGCTCCTGGAAAAACCACCAAAGTCTTGCCTTCTTCTTCAGGTCAGCGATGTTTCTTCTGGCGTTAAGCTCCTGCTCGTTTTGGTTTTATTTCTCTGGTGCGGCCTCGCGTCAAGAGCGAAGAGAAGGTAAAGGCAAGATATGCGAATTACAAGCTATTTAACTTCTTGATTTTTCTTTTAAATCAGCAAGCAGATCGATTCAATACCCATAGTGATAGAGATTTAAAAAATAAAAACGCACAAGTACAATACGATTGTAAACAACACACGACTCTCTACACATCAAAATCTTTTCCACAGATTCATTCTAATTCAAATGGCATTTTAAAAATACTTTATATACTAAACCATTATAATTTTTGGTTTTCCATATGTGAATTATCTATTACATATTGCTTTCATTTTTTATTTCCGCTGATTCAGATTGTTAAGTTTTGGCTTATGAATAGGTATTTTTGAGTTAAGCTTTTCTGTTATGATGTAGATGCCTGATCCTATTCAGAAGCTCGGTTTTGGGATTTTCAGATTTTGATTTGGTTGCAGATGGAATATTTATGAGCTGATTGTAATTTTTGTTTGGGGTGTGAAGTATGGGATGACTGATTCCATTTCAGTAAAATGAATAACAATCAGTAGTATATTTGTTTGTTAGTGTTGTTCTTGTTCCAGGTATTAACATTATTTGTTTATATAGCATTGAATCAATTTAGTCTAAAAAATTCAAAGTTTTCCTTGGAACTAAATCATAGTAGAATCAAACAGCTTTGTAAAGTAACAACAATAACAGTCTTTAACTTTAGTTCATGTATTCATTCTCTCAAAATATTCAACTTTTAGTTGACTATTTTGATATTTAATTAATGTTTGGAATGATATGCATTCTGAGAAGTCGATGCAGTTCACTATTATGGATATCCATTGTTAAAACTGTTTAGTGTTTAATGGTTTTAGTGTTGGGATATACAAACTCTACCACATACACAGCTCTACACTGCAAATATAACTTAGTTTGTAAAGTTAGGTACTCCATTGATATCCATAATGGTTCTTTTAAAACTGTTTGATATCCCAGATTCCTTTTTGGACCGTCCCAAAAAATAGTTCTCGTTTCCCAATTTTGGAAAGTTTTGTGTGGCTCACATTCATTTACCTTTTTCTTATTCAACCACAACCATACATTTTCACTTTATTCCCACTTTCTTAAACTCCGATCCAAGTCAATGCGGGAACTATTTTATGGGACGGAGGGAGTATTATTTTAATGAGTTTATTGCAGATCAAATGAATACAAATTCTACCAAATGAGCCACCAAAGGTACCGTAAAAAAAGGGGAAGACACCTAGAGTTATGGAGAGAAAAAAGAGATCCTGTGTATGGGCACACTATGACACAGAAAGTAAGCCTTTGATGAAAGAGAATGAAATGGAGTAGACAAATTGGTCACACTCAAATATCTACTTGCAAGTATTTCTTTATTCAAATTGCTTTCGACTTGACCAAGAATGGGACTAGTACACTAAAGAAGCATTTAGAACAACACATAAACTAGCATGTAAGTATATTCACATAAAACCAAATATAGTGTTGTGACATAGTCAATTATGGTAATCTTACTACCACTTGTTTATTTAATGTCATTTAACTCAATTTTAAATAATTTTTCAGGACTGAGTTACTCGAAACTGGCTATCAAATCTGGTTACTTCAGCGGTGAAGACAAGGACCCAAAAAATTGAGTTTGGGGACTTGGGGTGGCAAAAAAATAGCTCACTTGTATAAATATTCATAGTAAAATTTCCCCCATTGCAAAATAGTTTCCCCTCCACAGAATATGGGGTTGGGTCAAGGCCATGGCAGCATTAATCAGCTTATTCTGCTTATCCGTACAATATGCAACCTTTGACTTGGGATGTTTTTACTTGGACCGGAATTTTCTGGTCTGGTCTGAACTGGTCAAGTAAATGTCTGGTAAATGTTTGGTCTTTGTGTAGTTTATAACTGTCCAGGTCCAAGTAAAAACATCCTTAAATAGTCGGCTGAAATTGGTTTAAGGCTTTAACTTATCAAATCGGCCATCCGACCCGAAGCATGTTAAGGAAGTGAAATGTTGAGTAGAATACTTGCCTTACAGACATAGTTGAAAAGAAACCCGGTGTTCTCTCATTAGAAGCAATGAAAAGAATCCGACCAGGTGGGACCCATTTAGCAATTCTGCAAAGAATGAACTCTGGACGTGTATCTCTATCCAGATGAGGATGTAAACTTCGATGAACCCCAAACCTATCCTTCCTTGTCTTGAGGATATCTCCTCTGCGCACATGAATAGCATCATAATCTCCCATAAGTGCTTTGATCTATTTAAAAAAATATGACATGAGCACAACAAATTCTACATAATGGAAAAACAAAACAAAAATAAAGCGGTGGTTATAAAAGGAATTGAAGGCCATACTTCACCAACTCTAAGTCTCTAATCATGGTCAAAGACTACACAACTTCTCATTTTTGCCGTTACATTTTCTATATACCCCACAGAATCAGGAGCTCAGAATTATAATTTCTATTAATGGTGTAGCCAAAAGAACACCCTAACAGCTCAACCTTGACATGGCCAGAAATAAGGCAATCTATAAGTCCCTCATGCCATGCAAGAAAAAGAAGAAAACATGAGATCTCTAAAACAGGTGCAAGGGAAACCAAAACATTAACAATACACGAACACACATCACGTTAATCTAATAGCACCACACTAGGTTAAACTGTAAAATACTATCACAGTCGATTTTTGAAAAGTTATCTCGTTCCTGTGGGGGGAGGGAGTAAAACTGAATTAAAATTAAGACAATCATTTTTTTGTTTTTCTGGATGTGTTTTTGACCTATTATAGCATTTGTTCTAAGTAAAATGACAACATTCTTGAACTATAATAAGATTCGGACATATGACCTCCTTCCTCCTTGGAAGTGTCACTGTGATGACATCGCACCACAAGGTATTTCACAAATTAAGACAATGCTTAAAAATCAACCAACACACATAGTTATACTATTATGTTAAATAAAATGAGTTTTACCCACCCCCAAAGGATCTTCAAGAGGTGACATTTTTTACTAATATATATACTTGAAGCACATTATCTTATGATTTTTTTAGCGAAAAAGGGATCATCATTGCCTGCGCCAAAGTGAGATTAGGCTAACCTTATTTGCTGCATCTCGTAGTTTCTTTGAGGCCATTGAAGGAAGGAAAGAAAAAGGCAATAAGACAGAACTATGATTGGTTCGATCCTTGCACTCCATGAACCTGAATGTTTACCATCATTAATACCTACAGAAACATGATATCAATTCAAAAACACCACTAGTACATCATGATTAAGAAACAACAGTTCATTCCACAGGTATCCGCAGAGTACTAAATCAGTTCTTAACAAATATAAACACTATACAGATAACCCTAGAAATAAATATACAGATTATGGGCATCTCTCACCTAGGTGTTTAAGGGAATAAAAGAACTATGTTACTCCTTAACACAATTAATCATTACAGCCATAGAATGAATGTCATGAATGATAAAGCAAGAAGGAAACAGATATAACCATTAAAGAAACCCAGTCAGAAATAAACTTTTACCATGAAAGGGGGTTTGCAGTTCGGTTTATCAGCAACATATTCGAGTATAGACTATTTTCTTTGAGTTCAGTTCGACTGACATCTCTCACATGAGCAACCCCTCTGGAACCTAATTTCATGCTTGTGGCAAGAACCTGATGCCACATTTTCGAGTTGTCCAGAATAACAGGAACTTTGTCTGATATGAGCTCCAAATCATACAGAGAATCCATAAAACAAGAGCTAGCTGCCCACCTGACAATAGACATAACAATGGTGGAAATGTCTATAAAGAAACCATCTTGTTACTGCTATATTTCATCTATATGAGAATCTGTAATAAACAGTGCAAGTTGAATATTGTAGTTTACTTTGAGACAGTAATAACTGGTGTGGTGATAGAACTGGGCCACAGATGGAAATCCACTGTTATTATGCTTTCGTTTACTTTCTTTATTCAAATCATACGCTATTTTTGAAATGCGGAAAATTGTAGGAAAAGGGGAAAAAATTAAGGATCATACTTTTTTACTTGTGGTTTAACGGTTTTACCTCGGCAAATATGAAGGAAAGCCAAATTTGATTAAGGTTCTTTACAATTCTTACATTAGTTACATATGTTAAGATTTCCATAATTGATTTAATGAGTTTGGACCAAAACTTCCTTTTTCCTAAATTTTCCTTCCCTTTCAAGTTTCCCCTCCATTATCTTCCCTGTCATCTCTCCCTAAAATTTTGTGGGTTCCAAATGGACCCTTAGAGTCTGGGTGGGTACAAAGAGAACTGAATTTCTAAAAAAAGGAGAAAATGTGTAGTTGAAAAACAAAACAAAAAAAACAGAACGCACCCTTCCTCAGAACCTGAATTGGCATAATGATGAAGAATCCCTTTCTTGTTGTGTATTGGGTTGATGCACATCCTGGAAGGCATCACAAATGTTCTGCAACAAGTACAAAAGGGCCAAATTAAATATTCTTGGGGGGGGGGGGGGGGGGGGGGGGGGGTAAACGATCCATATTGTCAGAAACTTCTATTGATAACAGAACAAATATTTTTAAGATCATCAAACAAACTTACACGGCCTCAGGAATAGCATTGGCTACAAGATAGTCCAAAATCACAATACCAAAAAGTCAAAATACCCCATGTCTAAATATAATGTAGATATTACAGTACTACAAGCTTCAAGCTCCTAACATATTTAGGCGATATTACTCATCAAATATCAAATGTGATAATTAATCATTCATTAGACTAAGGAATTTACTGGTTGGTATTCTTAAGAAGGAAGGCAGTTTTATTTTACTAATTTACTCATATTTGTTAGACTTAGACCAGAACATAGCTACTCGTACAGACTTATACAGAGTATGTTTTATTTAAATTGTGTATTTCTACATACTTTTCATCTTCTCTTTTCCTTCTAAAAATCTAAACGTTAAAGTAAAATCATTTAATAAACCTAAAACTCGCCCTCCCCTCTGCAATCCCTCAACCATACAAGTTCTAAAATCAGTATGAGTTTATCATATTTTGCCAATCCAATATTCATATATCCAATTTATAAATGAACAATACGGTATCTTCAATCAGACACACCATAAACTTTGTCAGACACAGAAACGGAAAAGAATAAACTAAAACTCAAAAGCAAACATTTGATTCCATAATATTACTACCTCTGAAGGTACAACGCTTCTTCAAGGGAGCACCGGAGGCTGGACTCTTGGTGACCGAGACCCGCACAGGAGTCGCAATGCTTCCCAGGGCAGTCGATTCTGCTCCCCCAATAGAGGAATTTGTCATGTCCTTTACGCGGTCTGTTCCTGGAGTGAATAACTATGAGGTCCCGTATGGATTTGTTACTGGAAAGGGAGAAGAGATTTGTGGAGAAAAAGGAAGAGAAGAGGAACAAGAAAGCAATGGCGGCTATTGACAAGGTGAGTATGAGGATTGATCTGGATTTCGGCTTCGCCCTCTGGCCTCTGTGGATCACCATGTTTTGCATACTTTACTACACCTGTTTGCGGAGCAAGAAGAGACATTTTCTGGTGCACTTATTAATTAACTCATGTATATCCATTTAATGTTTTCATCCATTATTAACATTTCATTTTATTAACACTTCCATTGTTAACACTTCATTCATTTGACTTTCCCTAACAAGGTAAAATTATGTCTAACACTTACACTTCCCTTCTCTTTCGGGCCCTTACTAACACTTCCAAACACTCCATCCAAACAGGCCCTAAGATGCATTAATTACGAGCCCGTTTGGTAGCACAAAAATCGGCTGATTTGGCTGATTCTGCTGAAATTTATGAAGTTCTGGCTGAAGTTGATGCATTGGCTGATTCTGCTCATTTAAGAAAAAAATAATTTTAGAATATATTGTATTAATAAAATTAAGAAAAAATTATATGTAAAAATAGTTAAAATGATCATCGACAGTAACTTCAGCCAATACAGCCAGAAAAGTAACTTCATCCTTACTTTTTCTGCTTATTACACAATTCAACGCACGGAAGCAAAAATTACGTGTTTGGTGAAAAAGTTGACTGATAAGCCTGATAAACCGAAAAACAGGGCTGCCAAACGGCCTCTACATATATTTAATCTAAAAAACACAGTATCTTTGTGGGAGATCCGAAAAGAAATGACAATAAAATTTTGTGGATGAAAAAATAATAATAGTAGTAATGGTTTTTCCATCATATATTAAGATAGAAAAATGTTATTTGTACACGTCATTTTACACGTCATTTTATTTGTGTACAAACAAATTTTTTTTCATTTTGTAATGAAAATTTGTAGACAAATTTTCTTACCTGTGTCACAGGCAAAATATTTTTTGATGTGAGACACAATTCTCTTAACAAAGTGAAAAAAAATGTACGTGCATACACAAAAAGCCCGACATGTAAAATGATGTGTACAAATGACGTGTACACGAAACATAGTTGATTATGATATTGTCGGTACTAAAATACCCCTCTTTTGAAAACCATTTTCCGGTTATATCAAATTTAATGAGATTAAAACAGAACTAAAATAATAGATCAAGTTATCTCAAACTTAGATAATAGTAAAAGATAAAGAAAAATGTCAAAAGTATCTCTACTTGTAAAAAGCAATCAAATGAGTCCTAATGACCTATTTAACACCTCTTAATCCTGGTTTCAACGTACTTCTCAACGTCTTTTTAGAATACATTATATGGCATATGTCGAATATTTAACTAAGATTGGCTGAAATACAATTCAAAAAAAAGCGACATGTAAGCTAAAATCGGGATTAGGAGATGTTAAATAAGTCGTTAGGACTCATTTGATTGCTTTATACAATTAGAGATACTTATATGACACTTTATTACATGATTTTATGTGACTATTTCATAATAATAGAAGGCCAAATTTGACCCTTTTCTCTAAAAGATACTATATATATGAGATCTCATTATATCATAAACAAACAAGATAAGATTACACCACGTGAAACACGATAATTCGAACTGAATCATACTTAAACAAATAAAATATTCATATAAATCATGCCTCATTTAAAAATTTAAACCCAAATGAAAATGTCACGAATGTGCATTACCAGTTTTTAGATAAAAATGTAAAGAGATAATTCCCCAAATAGGAGTAAAACATAGGCAAAATGCAAAAATAGGAGTACCATGTTTTGAATAGGAGTAACTTTAGTGTTTGGACAAGTATACCCCTATCCAAGCCCTAAACCCCAACAACTTTTAATTAAATATTTAATTCATAATAAATTCGAAAAAAAAATCAAAAATTCGTAGAAAAATAATTAAAAAATTTATAAAATATTAATAAAATAAAAAATTTTAATATATTTTTTAAATTTTTTAGTTTTTTTTTAAATTAATAAAAAATAGTAAAACTCCATAAAAAATAAAAAAAAATATGGATGTCTTTCACACCGCCTGTACTACCTTCCTGCACCACCACCTCCGGGTGGTGAAAAAAATTCCATTTTTCCTAAAAACTGCCATTTTTTTCTGAAAATGCCAAAAACATGGCATATTTCTCTTTGTGAATGCCAACATTTTCATTATTTTCTGCCATAAATATGGCATTCGTAATGAACTTGGCATTTTTTCCCTGGTGACTGGAGGTGGTGGTGCAGAGGCGGCAGAGGCAGCGGTGAATTTTATTTTATTTTTTTGAGTTTTTTATTTTTTAAAAAAAATATATTTTTTTATTTTTTGATTAATCACATTTTATACTATTAACTAGGTTAGGATTAAATAAGTCATATTTTAGAATTAACTAGGTTAGGGATATTAAGGGTACAAAATTAATGTTTACTCCTATTGAAGGAATTTTTAAGTTATACTCCTATTTATGCAATTATGTTTATGTTTACTACTATATTGGGCAATTTCTAAAATGTAAAAGATCAACTTGTACATACTACCTCAAAAAACTTTTTCATTTCAAAAAAAATTGAATAATGATTTTGATTAGTATAATATTATGAAAGTTATAAATTTTATACTTTTATGAAAATATTTTAAACAAAGAACATTTTTATATAATTTTTTGTATTATAAAGGGAGATTTACCTAAATAGGAGTAAATAAAAGGATAATTGCAACAATAGGGGTTTAAAATTTAAATTCCCAAAATAGGACTAACTCTTCCTATTCTACCCTTTCCTTTGTCTTTGATAATAGGATTTTTAAACAATCATTATGAAATATAAAAAAAATCAAAATAAAAAAATTAAAACCGTAAAAAATAATTAACAAATATATACACCCCAATCACCACCTCAGCCACCTTCCAGCACCGTCACCTCCGGTCACCGGAAAAGATTGCCAAGTTGGGAAAAAAATGTCATCATGATGGCAATTTTGAAGAGAAAGCAAGAGAAAGATGGATATTTTCATAGAGAAATGTGGCATTTTTTACACATGATGGCATTTTTTTCTGGCGACCGGAGTCGGTGGTGCTGGGAGGTAGAGGACGCGTTGACAGTGAGCTACATATTTTTTAAATATTTTTTAGGTATTTTAATTTATTTTTTGGACTATTTAAAAAAAATTTAAATAATTTTTTTATTATTTTTATTTTTTCACGTTTTCATTATTATTTTATAAATATTTTATTATTTTTTATATTTTTATTATAAATAAAACTATGATTTTCTTATTAATAAAATAAATCTATTGGAAATGATAGGAATGGTGTATAATGGAAAGAAGAGACATATATTAGTCCTTTTTTGGGAATAAAAGGATTGTACTTCTATTGTTGAATTTAGGGTTTATTTTACTCCTACTAAGGGCTAATATCCGTATTATAAATAATTTTCATTAAAAAGATATAATTGATGAAAGTTTTGAAAAGAAGACCGTACTTGATAAAAATATATCGAAAAACTCTATATAAAATTAGATAATGCAACAATATAACCCATCACAAACATATACTTCGTGTCATTACACAATCAAGAAAATCTTCTTGATAATAGCATGGTATGAGTGTTAACGTTTAAGGTCAACTTATGGTTAGGTACTCTAAATAGTCTTATCCTACTTAAGAATTAAAGTCTTTGCAAGGCATCCATAAATTTAATAAGGAATTTTATCAATTCAGGAATCGAAAGATAGGTGAATTATTAATCTGGGATCTGAAACGACGCAGCATTCATTATTTTTTTTTCTTTTATTGTTAAAAATTGTAATAACTTTTTTATTTGATATCCGATTTTTATAAATTTTATATCAAATTTTTTTATTTTTCATGATCTATAAAATGAGACCAATATTGCTTATGTAGGTTTAACAAATTATTTTGAAGTTACATTTGATAATATATCATGAAGTTACATCTTCTTCTACGCGAGTTACATCTTATTGTACGCGAGTTACATCTTAATATACACGAGTTACATCCTAATGTATGTGAGTTACACCATGAAATAAACCCCTGCTACATCTTTCATTTTTATCATTTGAAAAATAGTGTATGAATATGAAATACAATATACTTATTTTATGTGCGTGGATTGATAAAATTTTGTATTAAATTGGCAAAGAAAAAAATTAATTCAGTTATAATTGAATTAGTTCAAGATAAAGATAAGTAAAAAATCACAAATAATTAGATATAACTCACACATAATTACATGTAACTCGCGCATAAAAGTATGTAACTCGTGTATAACAAGATGTAACTCACACATAACAAGATGTAACTCACACATAATTACAGGTAACTCTCGCATAAAATTATGTAACTCGTGTATAGCAAGATGTAACTCACACATAACAAGATGTAATTCACACATAATAACTTGTAACTGGAGTATATAATGATGTAACTTCGTATATTATCAAATGTAACTCCAAGCTAGAAGCAAAAAATAAACAAACTCAATATCTTAAAAACCTCTAAAAACATATAAAAGTGATAAAAAAAATATTATAGAAAAAGTGTATGCATATAAAAATATATTACAAAAAAATGTATGAATGTAAAAAATTAAAATTACGTAGGCAATATTGGTCTCATTTGAAAGATCATGAAAAATAAAAAATTTTGGTATAAATTTTATAAAAATCGGACCAAAAATAAAAAAATTATTAACAATTTTAAGAAAATGAGAAATAAAAAATAACAAAGGGTGCATGGTGCTCACCATGCACCGGTACCACGGTATAAGCACTGAGTATAAGATCCGAATAATGGAAAACCATCAATCTATGACATAACATTTCATAGGTTTTGATTTATTTAATTTGTTTTTAATTCCATTGCTAGTTTTTGATAAACTTGTCTCTACAAAAGTTTATTAGTTTAATAAAACTAAATGATATTTAAAATTTTCAAAATAAAAAAATTAATAAAAAACATGACAACTTAGACCCTAGATCGATAATTTTAAATCATTCAGGTCCTATAATGCGAGTTTTTCATCATTCAGGTCCTATATCAATACATTTTATCTTTCAGATTCCGGATTGATAATTCATCTATCATTTGTGTCCTGAATTGATAAAATTCCATTTAATAATTAAATCTAC